AATCTAAAGCCATCACTTTATGTTGTATAGTGGGTGCAGTATGTTACTTACTGTATTATGAGATGTGTGTCAGTGTAGGGGCCTCCTAGGCAGTCATACTTCAGTAAGGAAAGAACATGAAGGTAAATCAGTGTGTGCACCACTCCATCAGGAGTTTCGCACTCGTTAGGTGGAATCCGGAAGTATCTTGTTTCATTCTCCCTCCGTCCTCTTCCTGTCATCTAGCCAGTGGCTGTGAGGAATCCCCAGGTGAAGAGAATGGCCTTTGTTTAAAGCAGCTTTAGCCTGAGGGTTTGGGGGTATGTTGATATTTGTCGGTTACTATGACTTCTTTTTTTTCCCCCTTCAATTGCATCAAACCCTTAAAACATGGTGGTAAGTGAGCGATATGCATGCTTTTGGAGTTTGTTTAATCTCCGCTTCAGTCTATACAATGCACAGTTCATAATGTTAACACTTTTCTTCAAATTTACTTCATTCACTTTCACAACTAATTTGGATTTTTAGTTTGTTGTTTGGTCCTCATTTACTTTATTTTGTGCCTTTCTCTGTAGCTCTGTTCTCTCCTGACCTTTCTGTGGAGGTCAAGTTGTTCTTTTGTCTGGCCTGTATGGGAGAGTGATGCTGCAGAGGCGGTAGCTAAGCACAGGAGAGGAGGGGGGGCATGTCCTCTTCTTTGTGGTGTCCAAATGGATTTGGGAATGAAGCAGGGTTTCTGAGATTTAGACACAGTGCGAGTCACAGCTGCTCCCACTTTCAGGCATGGCAGCTGCACCAGAGACACGGTTGCTCACATAACTCATGCAAACCCTTGCATGTGGCCAGCTTGTTAGGTTGGAAAGTGACATTTAGACATCAGGGTATACATGTCCCCACGCCAAAAAAGAGGACTGTGGTGTGAAGTGCATTTGTGTTAGTCAAGTGTCCTAATAGGAAAAGACTGGCCTTGCTCTTGTGATTTCCCCCTCTCCTGTTTTTTAAAGTTGGGAGTAGATTTGGCTGTCTTGCATTAGAATTTTGTATTTTGGGGTGCACACTAAAATTAGTCAGTTTGTTCCTGTGTCTTCTTTAAATTCTCGGGTGCATAACTTCTAGCATGTTATCTGATTGGCCTGCCCTGGGTGCTGAGCTGTAGGCTGTGGAGAGGAGGGTTTAGGTTGGGCTTGTCTGTCTTAGTACCTGGTATGTCCTTGTATCTTTCCACTGCATATACAGCAAGCAGATGTCTTGGGTGTCCTGAGTCCTAGTTTGTTCTCTGTATCTGTTTTAATAGCACTGTTAGTAGTGGACTTCTGTGGACACTGGTATGTTGCTAGCCTCTTGTTTTGCTGATGAGTCATTGGTTTGTGGTTAGTTTGTTTGTTTGTTTTTTTTTAATCCTGTTTTGCTCCAGTCACTGTGTGCTGGCGGTGGCTTTGCCTCTCCATTGCCTGAAAGGAACAGGTGGAGCAATGTCTCTATGACAGACATTACTCCTGATATGTGCTCCTGCAGATGCCTACACCAAGATTGTAATCTCCATAACTGCTTCATGTGCACCAAGCCCCCTTGTGGAATCCTGCTGAGTTTTTCTAGATGCCTTCAGTGAAAGTACACAACTGTTGTGCAGTAAAATCAAGGGTGCTTATTTGTGCCCTCCCCTTTGTGGGTTTTTAAATAACTTTTTTTTATTTTAATAACATTTTCTTGATGTATGCATATCTACTAAGAGGAGAACAAGATGTCAGAATTATGAAGTACTAATAAGGCTTCTAAACACAAATAACAAAACTTTTAATTAAAAAAAAATCTCATGACCTTTCTTGTTTTGGCCAGGGCACAAGAATGAGCCCATCTTTTTATGTAGAATGTTTTAGAGGGGTGTCACTGTTTAGCTCTCCCTGTGATGTCACAGAACACCCTCTGTTTCTCATGTCTCTTGCTGGCCCAGTTGAGCTGGGTAGCCAAGGATTGGGTTGAACTATCACAGCTTCATCTTCCTCAGTCTCATGCTTCAGACCAGTGACCTCATAAAGATTGTAAAACAGCAGGACAAATAGTGCCCTCTGGGGAAATGAGGATGTGTGGTTAAGTGTATATAAATGTACACATCCATTTACATTGAAGAACTGCATACATTCTCCACAAGAAAACAGCAGGATTTTACAACTGAAATGTTGGTTTGTCTTCTCATCTATTTATGAGTGAACCACTGGAACTTGGGGACAAGATGAGTACAATGATATTGCAGCCTATCTGTCCGCTACAGTTGCAGTTTTTCATGATGAGCATTCAAAGTGTTAACTAAAACCATTAAAAGAACATATCTGCCATTAAAACTGAATCTAGAAATAACTTCATGAGTGTTTTGCACCTCCAGATGGAATGGCCTTTAATAAACGCTATGAATAGCCATGTTTGCCACTTGTGGTTTACTGTCTTGTTCTTATGCAGAGTCTAATGGTTTTTCTCTTCTCTTCTTCTATCTCATGGATTATTAAAAACTGAACACCTCATATAGATGATGAACCAGCCGGGCCAATGTGAGTACTTCATTGGATATGACTTTACAGTTTGATTGAATTGCCTTGTGTTTGCAGTTTAGTCAAAAGGAATACTGAAGATTGTAAGAGAAGGCAATTCCCTTACAATGAAAGTTGCATTGTAAACTTTTTAAGCCTGATGTAATTCTGACTGGTGACCTCTTGATTCCTAGGCCAGGTCTTGTTTTTTGCCTGGCCTAGTAATAGTATGCAAAAGAAGTTGAAAAAAGTTGATGTATTTGACATACATAAGCTGATAAACTACTGTCTAGTTCCAATAACAATTGCTGACAAGAGCTGGAGCTGTAACATGGAATGAGTCCAAGGCTACCAGGCTTTCCTAGAGTTAGAGATTATGAGAAGGCAGAGGGGCAGCTGGTGGGTTAATGGCCAAAGGGCTCAGCATGGCTAGTTGCTGGATCTTTTATCATTTAAGAAATTAAGCATTCAAAGGAGCAAGTTACTCTCACTTTTTAAGTAACTATAGTTTGGAAATCTAAGGGAGCTGGATGTTGGTGGTGCACGCCTTTAAACTCAGCACTCGGGAGGCAAAGACAGATGGATCTATGTGAGTTCAAAGCCAACTTGGTCTATAGAGTGAGTTCCAGGACAGGCTCCAAAGATACAGAAAAACCCTGTCTAGGGGAAATAAAAGAAAGCTAAGGGAATGTTACCTGTGTGTTGTCTGCCTTGAGAGTCTGAAGGATCTAGTCATTGAAAGTAGGAGGTACTTTATGTAAGGAATGCTATTACAAACTACTGTTAGAAGTAGAGTTTGCTTCTATACCGGGGATGGAAGGAAGTGAAGAGTCTGTTTCCATGTATTGCATTTTTCAAACGTTATGACTAGTTGAACTCACACAGTGCAATTTTTCCTCCAAAGGAAAACCAACTCTACCAACAATCACAAAGATAAAAACTTGCGCCAGAGAAACACAAATTAAGTACTGCTTATAATGTAAGTATGGCCTTCTTTAGAGATTTAAAAGTTCTATTCCAATGAACTGTGCCTCTGCTCACCTTGCTCCAAATTCTTCAGTAGTTGTTATATGGTAAGACCTTATTGTTAGTTTTAGAATAGCTGATACTGATGGAACAAATTCTGTTTACTATAGTGTATCGAAAGGAATGTATTTCAGCATATTTATATTTCACATATTTATATTTGGTTCATTTCACAATAAATAAATACCTTGTATTGTAGTCTACTTATATATTTTTAAAAGAAATAGTTACCTTCTTAGGTAGATTATCCCCAAAGGCCTATTAGTACCATGCGTGATCTCTGCTGAAGGCAATACAGAGAGGGTGACTATCAGACAGCATGCTTACACACATGGAGATCAGAATTTCATACCACATCCCTGAGCATGCTCTTTGAACCAAAGCTTTATTTGCTGTGGCACTGACATAGCTGTGAGTGACAGTGCATATTCTCTTAATTTCCAAATATTTCTTTCTTTACAGCTCTTTAGGTTCTTGAAAACGGTGGCAACACGACCTGCTAAATTTTCTGCTTGGACCTTTTTGGTCTCTCCCTTTCAAGTGAGCAACACCACAATGACCGTCTAAAGCATGCCTTATTTAGCCTCTCCTATAAGGGTGACCTAGCCAGGTACATTTTAAACAATGCTTCAGTGTAGAAGGTGTAAACTATTTTGGGCTTGATGTGCTGTGAATGTTGCTTCCCTTCCCTTTGTTAAAATATTTAAATAGAAGTGAAAAGGTCCTCTGAGGATCAGATCATGCATGCGCCATTTTTTATGCAGCTGTTAAATTGGCAAAGCTCTAAATGCACTGCTGCCATCTAGTGATCATTTTGTAAAGTACAGCAAAACCTACAGATATATACAGTATATAAATATATATATATATTTATATTTTTTGGGGTGGGAGAAATCCAAAATAAAGTAAACGCTTGTTTCATTTTTAAGCTGCTGATACCCATTCCTTATTGTCTGTTGTCAGATGAGGAAGCTGCAGTTCTGTCTGGTACATAAAGATGAGAGTATAAACTTAAGTCTGTCATTCTAAGGGCTTACCCTATAACTTTTAAGAACTTGGAACAGTCCACTGAACGGCTATAATGAATTGTAGTATATATGTATGATTGCTTTTTAAGTGACTATTTTTCTTTTGTCAAATCATGTAAATTCTGAAATCTTTTGCACTGATGTGTTAAACCTTATTCTTGTATATTCAATCAAGGCAACTTTTATAATTTCCCTTTTGATTTCAATGACCCTGAAATGTTGATAGCATGGTGATATTCTATGCAACACTAGTTACACTTTTTGGTTTGACACTGTATTTTTCACATTGATTTAATGATTGATGATAGATTTTATAACCTGACTGGGTTCTCATGCGGTACTAACTGTAGATGCATGTACTTGTGTTCTGTGTAATTATTGAAGTGCAATGGTGTACAAAAAAAGTGGATTCACCTGTTTTTAACAATAAAACATTGATAAAAGGTGCTTGGAAGAATATTCTTTATTCAAATATTTCAGTTCCTTAATTGCATGTGTGTACAGGGCTTTAGTTTCTTAACTCTGTGTGATCTTTTTAAGTTCCTTCTCAACCTCTTCCACAAACGCTGGGAAGTTTTGATCCATGAGGCATAAGCGCAGAAAGGGGCCCAATTCTTCTGCTCCCCATGAAGATTGTTCATAGGCTAGGGGCAGTTTCTCTGATGTCAGGATAGTCTGCAGGGTGCCAAAAGAGGTAGGAGTTGATTGCAGGTGGGATAACACAGGAAACAATGCCTTAAAATTCAGAGAGCTACTGAAAACTAAATTTGCTGGCTTTACAGAAGTCCTTTTCTACACTTAGGTTTCACATTGATAATTGTGTGTTTGTTTCCTTCCTCCATCCCTCTGGTACGCTTGTATTTTTCTCCCTGCTTCCTGCCCCCCCCCACCTCAAACAAACAAACAAACAAACAGTTTCACCATCCTGCTTCTGTGTCCCAAATACCTGGATTATAGGCAGGTACTACTTATTGTGCCCAGATCTACATTTTCTGGATATACACAAAAAGCGAGATAAACTTGAGATGTATGATGTACCTATAAAGTTGAGATCTGGATATTTTATGCTACTAACATTCTTCATGTGAAAGTTGGATTCTGAGTGGAAGAAATAGCTGTCTACCTGGGGATGTAGCTTAGTGGTAGAATACTTGTACACCATGGATATTTAGCATCACCAACAAAACAAGGGTTGGGGGAAATCATTGTAAATAAATCATCCAAAGGACAAAAATCATTCACTTTTTTGGGGGGGGGGAAGGGTTGGTGGCCATCTGAGTAATTTGAAAAAAACACGCAACTTCTACAATCAAAATATAGGATATTTTATGTCCTAGAAAACATCTCTTGTGCTGTTGTTGATTATTGTCAAACCCCTAAGGCTGGATAACTATGAATCTCTTCTCCAACCTTCATGTTGCCTTTTCAAAAATGTCATATTTTGTACAATAAATCATAGTGCAAAAAATCATAGTGCAAACAGTCCCTTTTTTAATGAGTCTCAGTCCCTTGATTCTTGACTTGACAGTGGGATAAAAGTAGTATGTATTCAGTAGACATTGCACTTAAGTGTTTGTCCTTTCCTTGGACAGCAACATGAGAACTCTCTCTGGGATGCAGACAGTGTGGTGAGCTTTGGCTTCCTGTCCCAGGCATAAAGGTCAGCAGTCTATACTCCACGCTTGTGTTGCTAAGCTATACTATCGCAGAGTTAGTGTTCGGAACATTTTAGCTATTTCATCTTAGAATGACTTGTGGGCATAGGCAGCTCCTAGAAGGCTTTATCCTCCTCTGTCCTTGAAACTAGGGTGCTCATAGTAAATGATGTAGGAATACTTCCAGGGCCACCTTTAACCAGTGCCCATGTTTAGAAAAACAGCAATAGGGATTATTTATTTGTTTATTTATAATCTTCCTCCTACTTTCCAATGTTCCATAGTTGAGACTGCAGCACTGGAAGTTGGCCCTGCAGGAATTGTGGAATCCAGATTTGGTTTGGGTATTTGTTTTAGAATAGTTTACAATCTTAATTCCAAAATTCAATTTTTTTTTATTCTTTTGGGGAGGTGGTGTTTAAATTTTTTATAGCATAGTAGGCCAGTCTCCTTCATTTCCTTAGGTAGGCAGGCAGCCTACACATGCCATCCTGTGTGCTTCATGGGCAGGGCACTATAACCCATTCTTTTTACCTTCTGTTCAGTAACACTTTAGGTTTCTTTTCTATAGCAAGAAAAAGAATGGAGGAATACAAATTCTTGTGGACTACCAAAACCCAGCACAGAAATACCTGAGCTAGATGCATCACTGAAGTCCTTCCTTCCAGAATGCCAGTGCCTGCAGCCACACACATCTGCTGCTCACGGTTCAGGTAGGGCTGCAGCGAAAAATGCAGTTAGAGGAGGGGGTTAGAGATTTAGCTTGGTGGTGGAGTCCTCAGCTCCAAGGGTTCACCTTCAGAGACAGACAAATATATAAAGACAAGTAGTTGTTAATTCACACTTAGGAGGGACAGTCATGGTGAGGCCTTACTTGTTCTACCACAGCACTGGTGGTCTCAGGTTGGTGGACAGTTAGGGCCTTGTTAGCCACCACAGCGCACTTCTGTCCAGTAGACCCATGTGTGACTCAGGACTATCACCCAAGGAAGCAGGAGTACTGTGTGCTGCCCTGTGTGTATTCTGTGTGGGTATGGAGCCCTTCAGGTTTGTTCATATGAATTACAAATGCAAAACAGGGAACCCCTGTATAATGTGAGACAACATTTTAATAAGAGTACTTTTTTTTCCCTTGAGATAGGGTTTCAGAGTAGCCCTGGCTTTCTTGGAACTCATTCTGTAGATCAGGCTAGCCTCAAACTTGGAGAGCTACCTGTCTCTGCCTCCCAAATGCTGGAATTAAAGGTGTGCCACCACCCCCAGGCAAGAGTACATTTTAAGAATCTCATTTTGGACATTGTGTAGTTCTGAGTTTTTTTATTATATAAAATTCCTTAGATAGTTGTAACAACTCTTTGTTTCTACTTTATCCCAGGCACAGAGTGATACAGGATGGGCGGTTCCATCCTCTACAATTCTGTAGCCTGAGAAGAGTCAAGCAGAGCTGTGCTGAGCCAGTGTGTCAGCTTTACCCAGGAGTTCATCTCCTAGTACATCCATGGGCCTGGCCATGCTCTGGGAACCTGTAGCCACACTGCTAATCTTGAGAGAAGAGTGTTCCTGTACTAAGTGGGAACTGAGGGTGTAATAGAGAAAGGAAACAGATTGCTCTCTGAGGGCTCCTCTTGTCCATCACAAACATTTCTGTCTGCTAGAAGCAGGTTGCTCAGCCTGCCTTCTGTTTGTTCTATGTGGAAGCTGACTTGCTAGTGGGTTTGTTACAGAAAACCAGACTTGGAAGTACCCCCTCCCCTCTCCAAATAGGGATGGATGCACAGTGAGAACTAGTGGATATCAAAATGAGAAAAGGACAAGGCGGGTAATGGGGGGAATAGGATGGGACTTTATAGTCAGGAGCCCTTAGGTAAAACTGGTTCGCATGTTCAGTTTCTACTGTTTCTCTGTTACAGAGGTCAAACTCTGGTGCTTGGTGACTCTGTCTCTACTGTCAGTGCTTTCCTAGGACACCTATCAGTTCAGCTCACACAGTGCTGCACCAGTGAGAAAGGTCAGCCAAAATACCATCCCCCAACTGAACAGCAGCTGAGGGTGGCTAAACGCTTGGACTCAGGTGCTCCACCTCACCAGCAAGGCCTTGTGCACATAGTAACACTTCATCCACCTCTGTTCTCACTGAGAAAAGATCATACATAAGAACTGTCACCTTCCTGTCTGCCCCTACTCCCTGCCCAGCCCTCTCCTGTGGTCCAGTGGGATACCTCAAGAGCCCTTGGGTTGAGAAACACCTGATGAGGCCACAATTAACAAAATTACAAGGCTGAGGAAAAGTAAAAACTAAAGCATAAGCCAAGAAATGACTCAAAAACTTTAAATAGAAAAGACAGAGGATTATCCCTATCTCCAAAGAAGGGAACAAGTACCTTAGACTAAAAAGACATGGAATTGGTAGATGATACATCTGAATGCAGCAATAACCTGAACTAGGCCATGCCTCAACTTTTAAGGTAGACTATGCATATATCTAGATTTGCGTGCCAGAAGTTGTTGGTCAATTTGGGAAATGTTTGGTCTAAGACAGGACTGCTCTAGGCTGTGCTTGTGCTCAGTGGCTTCACCTTGCCTTCTGCTCTGCTTCAGTGTTTCCTATTCTTCTGGGTTCTGGAAGTTCTGATCTTTGCCCACTGGCAGGAAGAGCACAGCTGAGATGGTAGTTTGCTGGCAACAGTGGTTGTGATGGACAGTGTGGTTTCTGTTTTGTTTGCCAGGCACTGTTCAGTGCTCCCAGCATTCCTCGCTTACCACTTCACAGAGGAAGTTCATGGCTTGCATGAGATCACACAGCTACCACAAAACCAGGTCAGAACTCTAACCCAGCTCTGTTGAGATACCAGTGCGTATGCTTTTTGCATAACATCAGGCTGTTTCAAGTATCCAGAACACCAAATTATAGATGAAACGAGTCCCTGGAAATAGACCCAGTAAGTACTTTTAGGATGTTTCTACAGTCTGAGACCAACCTTTAAAGTCAGCACACTGGAAACTTCACCTGCTGTTTCAGCTCACAGCCACAGTCTGCATGTGTTCCCATATGGTGGAGCCATCACTTGCTTTACTTGTTTATATGTGCATAGGCAGCACAGACTGAACCGTACCAGTGAACTTGAAATACCCCGACACCACAGCCACTTGTCTATTTTACACTTGGATCACTCAGCTATTCAGAATCTTTAGGAACCATGCATTGGTCAGCCTATGGATGTTGGTTAAGTCAACTACACCTAACTCGCAGGTGTTAACACATTCTGTCACTTGTTCATAAAGGATAAGTCATATTCATTTAGGCTCAGAAACATCTTTTGGGCCAGGAAGGCCTGACACCTGTGTGATAGACTCAAGTTTTCCAAGATTCTAACTTACGCTACTGGCACAAGCCTGTAATCAATCCAGGTGAGAGGGTAGATCCTAAAACCAAAACTGTGTCCTGTTACTGTCAGGAAGTAGTGTTCACTGTTGTCTGGACTGAAAGGCCTAGCCTCCCTCTGAAACGCTCACTGAGAGCTGCACTGCTCTGGGTGCCCATGGCTCTGGGAAGCACATGATGTGAAGGCAGAGGCAGTCTAGCTGCCAGTGCCAAGTGTCTTGACCAGGTGCTTTCCAGAAACAACTCGTCCAGTGTGGGCCCTTTTCACTCTGCGTGCCTTGTGAAGGTGCAGCACTGCTTGGCTTGTAGTGTCAGGAGCCTGAACCCTCCCCACCCCAAGTCTTTTGGTCCTACAAATGCAGATGGTAAAAGGGGTAGATAATGTTTACTATGATGAAAATGGTCTTGACCTTGAGGGTCCCAGGGATTAGGCTTTGAAAGCCCCTGTTCTATGATGGTATTGGAATACAGCTGGGGCTCTTATCATATTTCTTCACATTTTATGCAGGTAATTTAAAAGATCACTCAACATTAGATACTTATAAAGCTGTGTGTGTGCGCGCACGTGTATGTGTTACCCCCTCCCCCGCTGTGAGTAAGGAGGTTAGGAGCACATATTGGATCTCCTAGAGTTGGTGTCAGGTGACTGCATAGCCTGGTGGACCTGATAGTTCCACCTGGGGCCTCACTGTGCATTATGTCATGCTTCTTGTGTAGCCAGCACATGACACTCACCCCTTGCTGCAGTGGGTCCTTCCCTTGGCTTTCGCCTGCCTGCAGGGGGCCCGGGCTCTGCTGAAGCTGCTGGAAGGTGCTGTCAGGTTCCTGAACGGTGATGTACTGGGCCAGGGTCTTCACGCAGCTGCAGCAGTGCGCCAGGGCCTCTTCCTTGGACTCCCCACTAAACTGCACTCGGAACATGCGGCTCCTGCTCTGTGGGAAACCAGGTGCCATCACTGAGTGCTGCTTGCTGCGGGGTCTTCTGGTGAGTGTACTCTTGCTTGTTGGGGCAAGCAAGTTCAGAGAAGCCTCGTTAGAAGCCTTTCCTCTTGATTTTCCTCAGGCAACCGACACGAGCAAACTGGATGGTCACTCTGCTGACTTGAGTGGTAGGTTAGGGTTTCATCTTGTTTTTAATACAGATTTTACAGCTGATATTTTTACATTTTACTAAATGTTTAGGATACATATAAAATAGTAAGTCATAGTATCTAGTTCCTTAAATAGAAAAATCTGAAAACTATATACGACACTCTTGGTTCAACATAATGTTTCTGAATGGGGAGGAAGAGCCTGCAGGGCGGGGGAATGGCTCTGTGAGTAAAGAGCTTGCCGTGCAAACATGAGGGTTCGCATTGGATCCCTAGCACTCGGGGAGCAGCTCTGCCTGTAATCCCTGCACTGGGGACTGGAGGCTGAAGGATTCCAGGGTCTTGGTGGCCAGACAGCCTAGCTGAAATAGTAAGCTGAGTTCAATGATAACCTGCCTCAAATAAAAAATAAAAAATATGGTGGAGAGGGACTGAGGAGACTGAGCTCTGACCTTGATGAACACCCTGTACACCTGGATGCTTCCACAGGAGGCAAAGGAGGGGAAGCTGGCTGCCACAGTAAATTGGGTAGTGAACTTCTGGGGAGGAGGGCACAGGCAGATGCTCAGAGCCTGTGCCCTCATTAATAACTCTAGTGCCCTTTCTCCTTATGACACCTGACTGCTACACAAGTCACATAGGGGAAAGCCTTTTGTTTCCTATATGAGTTACATCCTCTGGCAAAATGACAAATGTGGGACAGGTGCAGCTGTAAACAAATACCTCCCCCTCCCAAACCTAGACGGGAGAGTTCATCAGAGTTAGGATTGTAAGCTTAAAAATGGACCTGGGTTGTAATAACATAAAACCATTAGTAACAGTTTCCTTCTTCCAGGCTAGTACTCTGTCTGGATGAGCCAACCCACATAAAGCCACCCAAGCAGCACTGAATGCATTTGTTCAACTTTCACCCTAAAGAAAGCAGGTGCTGAGACGAACACTCTTTTACTATATGTAAATATGTAAAACACATGTGTTAGTGTGAAAACACTTCTAACCTCAGCAAGATTATCAAAGTTCCTATAATCCAATTGTTGACTTTCCCCCGGATCAATTTATTCTGTTTAAATAAAACTCGTCAAAGCAGAGCCAAAGTCTTGGGCTCTAGGGAGTGTGTAGCATGCCCTATCCCCTCACCACCCTGCTTCTATTGGTATTTCTATTTACTTTCTGAGTGTGAGTTAACTGTCATCACTCCCTTGGACATCTTCTGAGTCTGGATAGATTAGAAGACATCTTAGAGCTCTCCTATATAATACATAATATGCAGGTTGTATTTTGTGCATATTTTTAAGCTACAGTGCTGTAGCCTAATTTTCTATTCAATGGGTGTATAAAAATAGAAGTATAGCTCATTACTTCTGGAAGCCGAAGCCTATCCCTTTATTTAACTGGCCTCCTACTGACAGATATTCAGGTTGCCCCAGCCTTCCCCTATCACAAACCACACACAGAGCTTTATAAACTCTGAAAGCATCTTTGTATTAAAAATGCCTAAATGTAGACTTGCCCATGTGCCTATTCCCTGTGCACTCCAGAACTGAGATGTTTATTCATTTTCATCACATACTAGGTAAACAGATTTTCAAACTTGCATTTCTCTGGTTATAATTGAGCTTGAAAGATTTTTCTTCAGTTTTCTAGTTAATTTGTATTTTTCTTTTGTGTGTGCTTATTACTGCCTTTAGCCTTTGAGTCTTCTTGGGTGAATAATTCCCAAAGTATCAAGTCATTAGAAGCAGCCTTCCATGAGGAAAGGAAATGGCATGTTAGCCACCTGGTTTCTCACTTGGTTATTTTGAACTCATCCTACTCTAGGTGCTGTAGAAAGATACCTGTGGGATCCTTTACCCTTAAAAGTCACAGGCACCAAAACTGAGAACTTTGTGACTGCTGAGAACTGCAGCGTTAACACAGCAAGTGAACAGGCACACACCCCTTCAGCAGTTGTGACTCTGGATGGAGCATGTAGGAACCAGTTTAGACACTTAGGGCTTACTGAGAGGGAAGGCCTTATGTGTGACATCTGTGCCTGTCGTCCCTATCTACATCTGTCAAGTTCTCAGGAGGAATCTGAGCTGACTGTCTGGAGTTAGAAACGCACCCCAGTGCATATAGACCTGAGCTAAAAGCAGCACACACCAGGGAGACTATAAAAACAACAACAACAACAACAAAAAAAACACATCTTCATTTTCCATCCTCACTACCAACTGGCCAACCTAAAGGTGTGCTAGGATGAGACTCTTGACATTTATTTTCAAAGATCTTTTTGGGAACAAAAGGGTCTTTAAAAGGTCTGTGTAGCCGGACAGTGGTGGCGCACGCCTGTAACCCCAGCACTCGGGAGGCAGAGGCAGGCGGATCTCTGTGAGTTCGAGGCTGGGCTGGACCAACAGCCTCCAAAACAATACAGAGAAACCCTGTCTCATAAACCCCCCCCCCAAAAAAGGTCTGTGTATACACATCTGCGTGTGCATGTCACATGAGCCCACAGAGACCAGAAGAGGGTTTCAGATCTGGAGCTGCAGTTACAGGCAGTTGTGGGTGAGTGGTCTGGTGTGGGTGCTGGGAACAGAACTCTGGCCCTCTTGAAGAACAGTAAGTTCTCCTGTCTGCTGAGCCATTTCTCCAGCTCCGAGAAAAACATTCTTAAATTCACAAACTGACAAGACAGTCTCTGCTGTCAGTCGCCCAGGGAATTACAGTATTTGAAGTGGTTCTGATGGGAAGTAGATCCTTTCAAGTTAGGTAATAACAGAAACTCCACCTTCCACAGACCTCCTGAGGACAGGGAGTGAGGCTGAATGCTGGCTGTCTCCAGTCAGCAAAGCAGGGGCTTTTCTTCCTAGGAGGGGGCGGGCTCAGCAAGTGCCGACACCCTGACAAGCCACTCTACAGCAGCTAGTTGTCACCCTGCCTGGATGATGTGCTACCTCAGTGCCACACAGAGCCAGGGAGGCATCAGAGAGCTTACACACCCATTGTGCTTTCCTCTGAGATCCTAAGAATAGCCACTGCCATGACTCTCACCTGACTGTCTGAACTGTCAGAATGTTCAGGAGGACAGAAAACCTGCATGCTGAGGGATCATCTGTTCAAACTGCGCCTGGTCTTGTGGCCCAAGAGGTCAGGTATTAACCTTGGAGTATTGAGAGGTCAGGCCTTTAGGAGGTCATTAGATTACAGAAGGTCACTGGGAGAGGCTAGACATATGTTTGCTTTCTGGTTCTTGCCCTGTACCATTTTGAGATATTTGTCAGCAAGAAGGCCAGTCCCTTGAACCTCCAAGACTGTACGCTATATAAACCCTTTTTCTTCATGAAGTAACCTAGCCGGTTATTTCATTATAGCAATGGAAAATTGACTAATACATTCAGAGAACAAGTTTCAGTGAATTTGCTTTGAAACCAACAAGTAATCCTCAAAGCCCCGGCTGGACAAAATCAATAAAATGTCTTTAGTGAGTTACTGGGATGAGAAACGAAGTTCACCTGGTTTAGACTTACTCCTTTCATCCAAAGTACCCTCCAGATAGGAATGAAATATCTGCTGTTAGCCAACTGGCCATTATTCTCACTAGTGGTCAGAACTGTTCAAAGGAAGGAGACCCACCTCACAAGCCTATTTTAGTCTGTGTATCCTGCCTGAGGAGAGAAAACAGTGATTACTATCTGAAGAATCTAAATTATGTTAAATTTCTGCTACAGAAATGCAAACTTTACCTCTATTTGTCAATTTAAACAATAGTATATGTTGCATAGTACTTAGGAATTAAAGTGATCCAAAGCAAGAAGCTAGCTAAGACAGAAGGTAGAATTCGACAGTTGTTATGTGACATTAAGGCAGCAGAAAGGAGAAAAGAAACATGATTTTACTAAGTGTCAAAAGTATTTGGGAAGCATTGCCAGTGAGTCTGGGAAACATGGAGGTTCCCAAGAGAGATATGCATGATACCCCAGAGATGGGGAATGAGGCAGCTGGACGTTGGTGGCCCATGTCTTTAATCCCAGCACAGAGGCAAGCGGATCTCTGTGAGTTCGAGGCCAGCCTGGTCTACAGAGCGAGTTCCAGGACAGGCTCCAAAGCAATACAGAGAAACCCTGTCTTGAAAAACAAAAAACAAAAAAAAAAGGGGGGGGGGAATGAGTCAAGATCTCCTGAGCAGATTGGGAGCATGGGTGGAGGGGAGAGGGAACTGAGGTAAAAAGAGGGGGAGGGAGGAAGACATGGGGGAGCAGGAAGGTTGAGTCGGGGGAAGAATAAAGGAGAACAGAATGAGATACCATAATAGAGGGAGTCATTATAGGTTTGAGGAGAGCTGACACTATAGTAAGATTTCCAGAGATCTACAAGGATAACACTAACTGGCAATCTAAGCAATAGTGGAGAGACTACATTAATAGCCCCTTCCTGATAATGAGATTGAGGACTACCTTATATGTTATTCTGGAACCTTCATCAGTGACTGATGGAAGCAGAGGCAGATAACCCACAGCTAAACACTGAACTGACTCCTGGAACCCAGTGACAGAGAGGGAGGAACGATGAGCAAAGGGGTCAAGACTGTGCTGGTGAAACCCATAGAAACAGCTGACCTGACAAGGGGGAACTCTTGGACCCCAGACTGATGGCTGAGAGACCAGCAGGGGACTGATCCAGACCCCCTGAATGTCAGTGAGGAGGCCTCAGCAATCTCTGGGGCCTTGGGTAGTAGACCAGTGTTTACCATGGTGTACAGATGAACTCTGGGAGCCCATTCCACATGGAGAGATGCTCTCTCAGCCTGGACACATGGGAGAGGGCCTAGGCCCTGCCCCAGATGAAATGACAGATTATGGGGATCCCCATGGACAGCCTTACCCTCCCTAGGGAATGTTGTGTATATTTGGCTGGGAAGCTTGGGGTGGGGGGCTGGTGGAGGAGCAAGGGAGGAGGGGTGGGAGAGGGAGCTGGGATTGACATGTGAAGCAAGTATGTTTCTAATTTAAATAAAAAAATGTAATGAAAAAAAAGTATTTGGAGAGGCCTGCAGGATAGCTTAGTGTGTGTTGATAGCAGCTCTGTTCATAAGAGCCAGAAACTGGAAACAACCTAGATGTCCCTTAACAGAAGAATGGATAAAGAAAGTATGGTACATTTACACAGCTGAGTATTTATTACTCAGCTGTTAAAAAAATGACATCATGAAATTTGCCATTAGATCTGGGAAGGGGGAGTGAGGGAGAGACTGGGAAGAGAGGAGGGAGGGGAAACTATACGATGTAATACATGAGAGAATAATAAATAAACTGACTGACTCAGAACACTACCTGTGAACTGCTCATGTAGGCTTTCTTGTTATATTGTAAAAGGTTAAATGCCAGGACTGTAGCCATCTTGAGATACTATGAGCATAAGTGACATCTGAGACGAACAACTGCACTGTGACAGGGAAGTATTTGGGGTCCACTGTGGGAAGTTCCATACTATCGCAATTTGTCATCCACGTCCATAGCAGAGAGAACAGACAAGTTAGAGGTCACTGAAAATGCCTATATGTTCCTAGACCCCCCTGAACTTTGAGAGGCTTTTTGGGGGGTCTGTGCTCCAGGCTAAGATCTGTCCACTAGATGTTCCTGAGCTCTCCTTTAATTCCTAAGGTTTGTGAGTTACTTAAAAAGTAGCACCTTTCCCCTAGATGCTTATTATATGTTTAGTAGATGTTAACAAACTGGTTTCCATGGTCATTTTTGAAGGGTACCAAAAATGTGATGAGTTTGCATGTTTCTCTCCTGAGGATTAGCCTTCATGTTTAATACAACTAGCAAACAAAAAGGAATTTTATTTTTTAAAGATTTACTTCAATTATTTATTTATGTGCATATGTGTGTGGATGCCCACAGAGGTCACAAGAGAGAGTAAGGTCCCCTGGATCTGAGTTACAGGTGACTGATCTGTCCAAGGTGCCATCCCATGGGGGTCAGACTGTATCTTATGGGTGTGGGTTCTCTCTGTTCGTTTTATGGGTCCCACAGATTGAACGCAGGGTATCAGGCATGGCAGCAAGTGCTTTTATCCACTAAGCCATCTTACTGGCCAGGGACTTTTTTGTTTGTTTGTTTTGTTTTGAGACAGGGTTCTTCTACATAGCCCTGGCTGACTTGGGACTCACTATGTAGTCTCAGAGTTCAGCCTGCCTCTGCTTCCTGAGTGGTGGGATTAGAGGTGTGCACCACCACACCCAGATCTTATTTTTTAATATTACACTGAGAAAAAATGAACATACATATTCAATAGAATGTCAAAAAATACCCTTTCCAACATCTAACTCACCAGACACATAGTGCCAACCCAGTGCTCAGGGCAGAGAGGCTGCATAGCCCGCAAGGCTGCACACCAGGGGTAGCTCCAGCTTGCTGTGGGCTATGCTTACTGGGCAAACCTTTCTTCAACACACCATCTTCCCATCACTGGTTCCCCCACCCAGAGCTCCCTGTAGCAAACCCTGCCAAACACACAGCAACAGGAAGAGAGGGGCATTAGTGTAAACATGGCTGGCCACACAGTTCTGTGTCATCTTACCTTTATCGTTGTTCCAAACAGAAGGCAGTCCTCACGTCTTACAATCTTCAACCAGCTCTTGCTGCCAATGAGTGAAAACCCTTCCTGAAAAAAAGCAATTATGTGGGGTTAGTGACAGAAGCAGAAAGGAACACTGGAGATAGTCTTGCTGCTTCCTATGAACAAGCCAGTGCCTATTCTTCACAGCCACCGAATGCTGAGGTGAACACCCCACCAGTGCCAAGTCCTGGCACTCATTTAAAAAATGGTTCTTTGCCCCTTTGTATTAAAACGATACCAAAGTAGTAAATATTCCATTCATACTTGCTGTACAACACATTTCTAGGCTTCCAGCTTTGCCCAAACCACCACCTAGTCTCAAGAAACAGGCTTCGCTATTCTTGTTTGAGTTTTATCAGACCCACTGCTAAGAACTAATAACAACCCACTAATAACAACCTTATTTTCCCAATAATAGAAAACATGAGGCCATCTGGTTTTTTGAGTATTCAGTTCTTTATTTATATCTGATGGGGCAGGGAGTGCAGAGAGGGCCTTGCACTGTCTGCAGAACAGACATCAAGGACTCTGGCCTGCACCTCTTAAGCTGCTAGGGATGCAGCCTGAGTTAGAAAGAACAAAAACTCCTTGTGGGCAGTTTCCTCACCTGAGGTCAAGAACTCAAAGGTCAAGTAAACCCAGGAAGACACCCTTGACCATTCCAGCCTCCTCAGTTTCTCCTAAATCCCTAGTGACAAAGTGTTCTTAAAAACAGAACAGGAAGTCAGGCAAAGAATTTATGGTTTCCCCTTAAAACTTCCTCAGTCTGGCATGGTGGTTTACACCAGACATAATCAGGAGACCTGAGTTGGGAGGGTCCCACAAGTTTGAGGCCTACCCAAGTTTCATAATGAGACTCAGTTTCAAAATCAAAACAAAAATTCTCAGATTAGTAAAAAGAAATGTGTAATTATCACACCCCAAATGATAAGCTGTTGTTTCAGGCGGCAGGCTGTAATGAAGGTATAGAGTACATATTAATGTAGTGATTACAAGAGACGATTTGATAATACTGATAATGCAAATGTGTTTATCCTTTGCCCTAATAGTCCAAATGTTGAGGACACATCTATAGGTCAGCCTGCACTCATTCTGACATGATGTGTGGATAGGATAGGCATCACTGCATTAAATTTGATTGCATTCGTTTATTATTTAATTTGGCAGGAGGGATAAGGTGGAGGGATGCCATCATACAGGTGTGGAGTTAATTACAATTGTGTTTCCAATGCTCAGATATACTACTGGCTAGCTCTAAGAGGACATCTTGCAGGGATCAATCTCCTTCCAACACGTGGGTCTGGGGACTGAACTCATATTATTAGGCTTAGTGTATTTATGTACATCATATGGCTGTAGTGCCTACATAGTCCAGAAGAGGGCACTGCAACTCCTTAAACAGGAATTACAGCAGGTTGGTTGTGAGTCATGTGAGTGCAAGAAACCAAACCCAGTTCCTCTGTCAGAGCTGTAAGTGCTCTTAACTGCTGAGCCATCTCTCTAGGACTTTTCCTCAACTGCTCATATCAAAGATGGACTGATTAAATTGTGGGTGCTGTGCAAGGTAATAACATGCAACTAATAAAAAAGAATCAAAACTCTTATCAGTGCTGTACAGTAGAAATAGAATTTGAGCTACATATGTAACTTAAAGTTTTCTAGTTATCATTTTAGAAAGATACTGATAAATGTCATTTTAACATTTTATATATTTTTTTTTTTGGTTTTACGAGACAGGGTTTCTCTGTATTGTTTTGGAGGCTGTCGGTCCAGCCTGGCCTCGAACTCACAGAGATCCGCCTGCCTCTGCCTCCCGGGTGCTGGGATTAAAGGCGTGCGCCACCACCGCCCAGCAACATTTTATATTTTGTTTATTTGATTTATTATATTTTACATAAAATATAATAAAAAAATTGATTTAGCCTAACATATGAAAATGTGTCAAATATGTAGAAAATAAACAATTAAATAGTATTTTTAAAATAATTAAAATTGGTTTGTGAAATCCAGCATGTTTTACACTCACTGTGGGTACTATATTTTTTTTCTTTATTACTGGTGTGTGTGTGCACGCACAAATGTGGAGGTCAGAGGTCAGCCAACAGGAGTGTTTTCCCTCCTTCCACCTTTTACGAGGGCTCCAGGGGTCAAATTCAGGTGGTCCAGCTTATGCAGCAAGCCCTTTCCTGCTGAACCACACCATAGCCCCAAGTTAGTTAATGTGAAATGCAGCTCTAAAAACAAGAGTTTAAAAGGAAAATATTTTATATCACATCCACTTTTAAAACTATGTATTGAAATTAAGTGATATCTGAAAGCCAGGTCATTTTGCTGTCACTTTGTACTTCATATTCAGCCTGTCTGCAGCACAGAATGTTGGGGCCCATCTCTGGCCTGTGCCTGACTCTCCCCTTTCTCCCTTCATACTCTGACCACCTTTATTTTGCTGGCCTTGGGCTAAGTATCCCAGAGGTTCTTTGGCTAAAATGGCACTCGATTCCAAGGGGCCCTGTGGTACACATCTCTGTAAGGACAGTTGCACACAGTGGCTTTCCTGCATGATGTACTGTGCAGCTCGTTTCCAGAGTCTGGTCACCCTGTGGTCCTCGATCCCCCAAATCACACCTAATGCTTGCCATGGTGGATCCTGTCATAATCCCAGTACCTGTAAAGCTAAAACAGGAAGATTGCCATAAGCTCAAAGTCAGCCTGAGCTACAAAGTGAAGTCCAGAGTGAGGCCCAATCTCAAGAAAAAAAATTAACAATAAAAACTCCATAAACAAAGAGGAAAGCCATCAAGAGAAGTACCAAAGGACCCAAAGACTCAGGTGCTAAGTCTAAGGATGGCCACAAGAACACCTTTGCCCTCACCCTCCCAGGTTTCTTTTCCTCACTGAACCCCACCCTTCAGCCCCTCCCCAACCCTTTCCAGAGTCTTGCTATGTAGCCCACACTGGCCTCTAATTTGGCAGTCCTCCTGTCTCAGCCTCCCAGATGCTGAGATTACAGGTCTGCTTGTCCATACAGCCTCAGGTGCCTCCTGGCTCCAACTTTGCTGGCCAGTGTAAGCCAGTCGCTACCCAGGAGGATGTCATGGCAGGTAGGGTCACTGGTACTCAGCAAGATAAACCAGCTTTAAGCTCATGACAAGTATGACTTGATAAGCTTTGATGTGAACAGGGCACTTCACTTTCATGAAAATAACAAAGCATTCCCACCTGTTAGAAAACCCTGAATCCGAGGGAAGCAGCATAGAGACTGTAGTTACAAAAATAGCTTGATGACTAACCACTGATAATCCTCTCAGTCCCAAACTCTGGATGCCAAAGGCTTCTTGAAGGGGAGCAGGCATTCATATGCCAGGGGATGTATTTAAAAAACGAGATCTTGCCCAAAGCTTCAACGATATGTTTCTACTCACTTAGGAAGCTCCTGGTTTATGAGGTTCAAATTACACTGAAAATAGGAAAAATATCCACAATAAGAGTCTTTGTAGAACTGCATCAATGTGAGGGAAGCAAAAGGAATTAGGGTCCTAAAATGTGTACTTTCAACAGTATAACCAATGATTATTAAGTTAATAAAGAGCAATGAGATAGGCAATAAAAACAATTTGTAACTGAGTCAGGGTTAGATTTTAGTCTAAGACTTGAATGTGGGTATTTCTAATTCATTAAAAAAAATTGCAATGTTGTAACAAAGAAGGAACAAGGGCCAGCCACCCCATACTTCCCATGAAAACAAACATCATGTCTCAGACTGATGATCACATCCAAGCTGAGATGCCACATAGTGACCTCCTGTGTGTGGATGCCGTGCCTGATATCCATCCATCCATCCATCCATCCATCCATCCATCCATCCATCCATCCATCCATCCATCCATCCATCCATCTCAGAAACACAACCAGTTGGTCTCATGCTGACTACAGGCAATGTAAAGATAAGATAAATGAATAGTAAATAGTGACCACAATATAAGGCCCACTCTGTGGCACTGATTACACCAGTCATTCCTGCCAATTACTGAACCAGAGTCAAGAGGCTGGGTCATAGACACCTACCTGCTACATATGTTCACCCCAACAAAGCCACCTGCTATGACTCAGTGACTGGTCTCACATGATAACTGCAGGTTGAGCAATCAGCTCTCTCTCTCTGGCTCTCCACAGGCTGTGTCCACAGGCCTTCTTTCCAAGCAGTGTACAAAGCTTTTGTCCTTCCTAATAAAGCCTGGAGACACCAGAGGCCCCTTGCACTGTGACTATAATCTTATTCCTTGTTGAATCCCAAATGAAACCTTTTGCTTGGAGATCTATTTTCTGTTTTCATTTTTTGAGACATGGTATCATCTCACAGTCCAGACTGCCCTAAAACTTCCAACCCCTTGCCTCCACCACAGATTCAATATTTTTTGTATCCTGTAATGTAAATTTTCAAACATGCATACAGGAATAGAGAAAAATAGCACAATGAAGTGATCTTCTGGTTACAGCTGTCATCACACAGCCCATGTCACTTCATTTACACCCACTCGACAGCCACCCATTCCCTGGATCATTCTATTCTGAAACTAAGATAGATTATCTGTAAATATCACAAGATATACTTCTTCAAGGCTAAGGTCACTTAAAACATAACTACAAAACCAATTTTTAAAAATTAACAACTCATCTGCCTTCTGGTGCCCTACTTGGAGCTTCCTGAGGCCTGGGGACTGCACACTGGGGAACCCATCTTGGCAACCAGCCCATCCAGAGTCTGCCAGCATCCTAGTCCCCTCTCTACCCACGGGAGGAGATAAGCATGGGCCTGTTTCCGGATCACCTTCCGGTGCCCTACTCAAAGCCTCCTGAGGCTTGGGGCCTGCACACGGGGAACCTGTCCCAGAGGAACAGCCCATATAGGGTCTGTCAACATCCCAGTACTAGTCCCGTCTCCACCCACTGGAAGAAGGGATGGGAAGAAGACAATATAAGAACACATTCAACAACAGAAAAACCATATGACACCACCAGTGTCTAGGGAACTCTACACCAGTAGA